AGAAAGAGTTGAGTCAGTGACTCTGAACCCTACCTTAGTTGCCAGCTTCCCAGCATTCTAGGAAACCAAAGTTCCAGAAGTAAAGATGTTGGGACAGAAATTAGGAACAATCTATTCAATCAGTGTGACAGGGAAATAAAAGAAGAGTTTGTTGCCTGAGAATGGAGTAGAACAGAAGAAAATTTGTCATTTGGGAGATTTTTATAGTTCATGGTAATAAGGCAGAGAAGAAAGAGAGACTGAAACTCCAAAAGAGAAGAAAAAGGGAAGAGAAGAGCTACCTGGTGATGCCGTGTTCAGCAGAAGAAAAAAGTAAAAGAAACACCATTCAGAGATGGAGAATTTGGCCTTGGGAAAGAGAAGGGTGGACTTCCATTAATCCAAAATTGATAGAATACAATTTGAGTGAACTCACTTGATGATTTCTGTTTTTCACTTTTGATATCAAGGTCTATTTATTCTCTGATAATTGAGGACACAGTTGAGGAAGAGAGTTTAAAGATCTAAAATACACACACATGCACAAACATCCACAAATCATCTTTTATATTGCTGTTGTATTCAACATTTTTGACTCTCACCTTATCCTGAATCCTGAGGAAATACTGTTTTGTAATCCCATGATTCATCTTCAATTTGAAATTTTTCCATTTAAAATATTTACTCATCCAAGATATCCTTTGCAGGTGCATTATATTCTTCAACTCTGTTTCTTTTCTTCTACATGAGTATCTTTGGGCATATGCTTTCAGAATTTTGCCTTATAGGGGGCATCTTCACTTTGGGATGCTTTTTTTTGTTAGACAGGGGAACATAATATTTGATGTATTATTTTCACTTTATTTCCAAACATCTGTACATATATCTGATTATTGCCCTCTTCCTTTTTCATAAAGTTTCTTGTACTTTTACTTTACTTATTAGTTCTTTTTTATTTAACTGTATTCTTTTATTTTATCAGAATTAAAGTCAGAGGAGAAACTCCTCTCATTGTTCCTTTACCTGTTACAAGATAAAGTAATTACCAAGGCAGACATTTTATAAGTTTTCTCACTTATACTTTGATCAAACTATGACTTAGGCATATGTTTAAATATCAAAATGTTCATCAATGTTATTTAGACTCTGAGAGTCATTTTAAAGAAAGGGTAACTGAGAATAATATTTGTAAATGTCCTGTGATGTATATCCATCAACTCACCCTTACAACAGCAACTTTAATGTTATTATTATTAACATTTTACTTATAAGAAAACTGGTACCCAGTAAGTTTAATTTGCCTAGAATCATACAGCAACTCCAGAGACTGTTCCTATCTGACTCTTAGACCGTGACACCAAGTCTTTGCTATTATACACAGCAAACATTTCTAAGCTGAACCTCAGTATTGTATCTTTTACCTACCATTTGACTAAAATATTGATAGATGTCAATGAATACAAAATAAAGTGATAGTAAGAGGATGGTTACCAGAGAAGGATAGCAAAGAATATGATGACTAATATTTACTAAATGCTTAGTATATTTCAAGTTCTGTTTTATGTGTTCTTCATTATTTAATACTCATAGCATCCTAGCAGTGGATATTATTCTAATCTCCATTTTAGGGAGAAAAATACTGATGGTTGAAAAGATTAAGAGACTTGTCCAAGGCTGAAGTTGACAAAAGTAGGAAGACCAGACTTTGGATTCATAGATTCTGATTATATATATCCAGGCTCTTCATCGAACCCTATATTGGTACCAGTCGAGGTGAAAAGGAAGAGTAAATAAATATGTGTTTGCATCATTGTCCTATTTATTCATTCAGTGATAGGTGACATTCATTAATTATTAAGATGGAAGGTGCTACAAAGTAATTTAGAAAAATACGCTAACAATGATGGGAGCGTTGCGTATGGAATTCACATCCACAAGCCCTATTTGAAACACTGGACTGAGTTTGATTATCTTTTACAATATGCTTGCATACACCCAGTGAGGTTAGATATTTCAGGATCTTGAAAGCCAGACTGAAAAGTCTAAGTTTGCTGTTGTAAAGAGGAGGAAGCTCCTGAATATCTTCCTCAGGGAAGTGACATGATCAGAATGGTACTTTAGAAAAATTGATTTTGCATTACCTGCCATATGGGTTGAAATTTGGTGGGCTGTCCATAGAAAACGAAGCTGAGAGCCACTAATGGCATTGCAGGTAGAAGCAGATAGGGCCTGGGCTTGGGAGTTAATAGTGGAAACAGGAAGGAAAAGATGGATATAAGAATTATAATGCAGGAAAGATGAAAATAACTTTGTGACTAATTTTGATGTATATCAGAGGTGGAATCAAGGATGAATGTGATTACAAAACAATTGAGAGAGTGGAGAGAAGAATTAGAGATGTTGGTTCTACATAGGCACTATTCACTTGGACATACTCTGTACCTTTGTGTACTGTTTTTAATTACTGAAATATTTAATACATCGTGTATTTTCTGAGGACTGAGTATAGTCTATCAGTATTTTCAATGATACATGTATGTATATATGTATGTATACATGCATGTATAAATTGTGTATATCAAATATTTTGTCCCTTTCTACAAGAAATTCATAATTTAGTAGTCAGTGGGTGGTTGGACATGTAAAATCAGAATGGAAAAAAAATATTTAGGAAGATTTTAGAGTTGCAAATCATAAGCATACTTTGCTTTTAAGTCAGGTAATAGAAAGAAGAGGCCAATAAAAAAATAAATGTAAATGAAAAACCAAGGTAAGAGTCAACAGGTCTGAAAATAGACTATATGGCTAGAAAAAGATGCCCACTGGCTTATACTTTGGTGATGGTACTTTTGTGCTACGAATAAAACCTGGTTGGTGTGCCATGTCAGGGTGTACAGCTTAGCAAATGGTGTATACTTCTGCCCTGAGGGTAAGAACCCAGAACCGTACACATGCCATATGGTCAAAAGTAAGACCCCAGAAGAATCACATTTCTTTCTCCTTCCCTAGTACTTAAAACCTTTCCTTTTGAAGTGTATCCTCAAACTAAAGGTTATCATTGCTGTGATGTCCAACCTAGACCTAGTTGACATTAGAGAGTCACTCAGCATGAGGTGAGGAATTGGTAGTGTTATTCAGAACAATCAATGTGTGTGTGTTTTTTCCTCCTCTTCAAACTTTAGTTCAAACCTACAGATGAAAAGAACCTATAGTTATAACCCAAGGATTAAAGAAACTTTTAAAACTATGATCATGTTTATATATGACCACTTAAATAAATTATTAAGATAATTTAAAATGTTTACTTCCAGATAAGATTTTAATAGCAATATGACTTAGGGATGCATCAGTATTCTGCACATTTATTTCTGAACCTTAGAGTTACAGCATAATGCACTTCATAGGATCTCCAAATAATTTATAGTTACTAATTAGAGCTGAACTGTACACTGTTGCATTTCTTTACAATATTAATATCTAAAAGGCCATAAACCTGCCTTCTTGGCTCTTGCCCAGTACCATTTATAAAGCGTATTTTTATTTGACCTACAGTGCTCTCTTTTAACTTTAGCAAATAAGGCACATTTAACTTTTGACAGCCATTAGAGATTTTTATATGAATGTTTGATTATATCAGAACAAAAATTTACATTTACTGCATTATTTTCAATCAAGTGTTTTTTTTTTCTTTTTGTTTTTGTAGAGCTAATTCCAGAGATGGAACTATATATTTTATTTACATATTTATATAACACATGCATATAATTTACATAAACTAAGTGTAAATTTCCAATCTTTATGATTTTTTTCAAATGTGATATTGAAAAAAAAGAGAGAGAGATTGAGAGACAGAAAGGGCCGAGAGAAATTCCTTTAATGTTTAACATGCCTCTAATTACTCATGTTTCCAGAGCAAAGGTTTCCTCAAGACTTTTTTCCCTCTTATTTTCTCCTGTTGCCTGTTCGACCTTTCAGATAATTCTTTATAAAGCTTTGTGTACTAGAAAAGAAAATGAAATTTCACCCAGGATATCTTCTTGAGTTTGAAATAATGTGAGTAATGGATTAATACAAAAACACATAGAAGAAGAATTTTGTAGCTGTCTCCTTTAAATACAGGGATTAAACTTAAATATCTAACTTTATTTTAACTGATACTTAAATAAAATTTTAGAAGATAGTTTACAGTTTTATTTAGTTCATAATGACAATTTATCTAAACTTAACACTTGCCACCAAGTTATTAATATAATTTTAATAAACAAAATGGAAATAAATCTCACATTTTCACAAAAGATAATTCTTTATGCTAATGATTCAGTAAAATCTATTCTTATATTTTAATTGTGCCTGCATTTTCTCTCTCACACACACAAACACACACATGCACACACTCATGAGATTGTTTCCTTGAATGGAAATAAAATGCTTATGTTGTATAGTAAAGGCAGAAGTAAAATTATTCTCTCAATAAATGAAATTTGATATTGAATATTTTACTCTTTATTTTCTATAGTAATAAATATTTACTAATGTATACCTTCTTGCAATTTGAAGAGATCATTCAGTGGCTTATGCAAGCTTTGTAATTCAAATATATTAAGTGATATAGGCAGCAATTTTCTTTTATTCCTAGTGCTCAGAGCACCATAAGTCTTAATAATGGCCATCCACATTACCTGGGTTATATTTCCTTTGTTTTTATTCCTTTGTAGATGTGCCATCCAATCCCTATGGAGTGAAGATTATAGAGCTGTCACAGACGACAGCCAAGGTTTCTTTCAGCAAGCCGGACTCCCATGGAGGTGTGCCTATTAATCACTATCAAGTGGATGTTAAAGAAGTGGCATCAGAAACCTGGAAAATAGTACGCTCCCATGGAGTTCAAAGTGAGTCAATGATTTCCAAGTGTGTTGGTTAATTCAAGCTGATCTCCAACATACCTGTGTGATTACCTTTTTATTTTCCTTCAACATGCTATTTTTCTTTCTTTTAATGAGATAGGATTGGAAAGACGTTCCCACTGTCTTATTCTTCTTAAGAATACTTTAATAAAGAGTAGAAAAGTTTCCATCTTTAGTAAAGATTAAAGAGTTTTGGGAATTCCCTGGCAGTCCAGTGGTTTGGACTTGGCACTTTCTCTCCCATGGGCCTGGGTTCACTCCCTGGTCAGGGAACTAAGATCCTGTAAGCCTTTCAGCTAGGCCAAAAATAAAATTAAAAAAAAAAAAAAAAAGTTTAGCAAAATCACCAAAGTTTAATTCCAAGGGAAAAAGTTAGTATTTAAAATTTGGGTGTTTGAAAACAAATTGCTGACATGTTATATTTGATGGCTGAATATTATCAAGTGTGTGTTTTCCATTTATTAATAATATTTCTTTCATAAGTAGGTGTGAAAGTCATACTGTAAAATGTATGTCTTGTATATATACTCATGAAGCCATCTATAAAAATTGATCTTGCATACCAAAATTTACTTCAAAATTATGTTTTGAAAACTCACATTTTTACTGCGTTTCATAAGATTTTGAATAATAGAATTAGCCTAGCTATGAGAAGTTAGAACAGTTTGCAACAGTTCTTTTCACTTACGTAGTATTCCATCATGTGAATATGTGATTTTTTTCTCCATTATTAGAAGAAACTAAATTAGGGAATAATACTAAATTACCAGATTTGGACTCTGTTAATTGCAACATAGAACTACATCTTGTGGCCCAAAATGACAGTATAAAATAGTGAGGAAAGTACTGCTGCAGAGTGTTCCTCCTTTGCTGGCTCTGCCTTGACCCTAACATGTAGTGTGAAGATTCTATAAAAGGCATGAGCCCTCCTGGGAAGAATTGTCCTAGTGGACAATAGAGACAGAACAGATAAAATCATTTGAGGCTCACCTGTGTTGGCACCTGCTTGTTCAGTTTTGACTAAGAGTAACTATAGGTTTTTGATAGAAGTGTTGGGAATTTTGTCAATCAATCATCAATAATTTACACATTCTTCAAATAATGCCCCCAAACAGGTCAGCTCTTATCACTGCTTTTAATGATGAGAAGTTCTGGATAGTTAATGTTCTTTGTGCACATACTATGTGGTTCAGGAGAGAAGATGCATAAAGGTCATGAACAAAATGAATGAATGAGTGAATTCAAGGACACTAGTAAAAGAAATCATTATCTAGGAGTCATATTTTTTTAAGAAAGAGAAAACAAGAGAGGGTGAAAGGCTAGAGACAGAAAGAGAAGATATTTCTGACAGTAGAGAACATTGATAGTGGGCACTCCATCACAGACATGAAGAAACGAAATGTGAGGTCTGAACATGATAGAAATTACACTCGGCAGAATAGTACTGCCACACCCTGCCCCTCCACCCTGGGTTAGAGGGAGGAGGTGAATAGATTTTTCCAAGACTTCTTACAAAGTTGCAACACCATGGAGAATTTATCATGGCTTTGGATTGGCCAAGTTCTTCAAGTTCAAAATCCTGATTTTGTACCCCATGTATACATCGCTCAGAAGCAAATTTCCATGCTTATAACAGTGGTATATAATAGCAAAGAACATTTGGTGATTTACTGTGAGAAATCACTATCCCAGAAATGAGACATTCAGAGTCTATACAATGAGTACGTGTGTATATTACGTAGGAAAGAAAATATGTCAGAAGTCTGTTTGGTGAGTCTCTAATGTCAGAAAGCGGAGTTACATGAATATGGCATTTAATGGCTTCAGACTGGGACAGCTTAAAGCTTGCCAATAAGATCAGAATACTTTAAGTCCCATGGCTGGAGCTTTCTCCCCTTTACATGAGGGAAATATCTGCACTGATACATTTTTTTTTTTTTTTCTTTTTCGTGGCTTACTCTTCTTTCAAAGATATGTTAATAAGTTCCTTGAATCAGGTTACAATCATGTAACCAAACTACTGCATGATCTCAACTCAGTGTAGTACAAACACGATTTTTTAATCCAATTACTCATTTCATCATTTTTGGAGAAAATCTCCTTCTGTTATTTAACATCTTTAGCAGACACTATAGATTTATGGTCCTCTTCAAGTACAAATACATTCAGTTAAGTCCCGCAGAACTTAAAACTTATAAAGTCCAATTTAGCACTCATATTTTCTCTGGCCCCTATACAGCTGGATCTTATCCTGGGGAGCTGAGAGTGGGAAGGTGGCATGAACTACATCTTCTCTCGGGGAGAAAAAAGGAGTCAAATACCTCTTATTTTTCCGGTGCTGTAATTCTCCTTGTGCTGTGCCTGCCACCTGTGCTCTCTGTGAGACCACATCTAAGTACCTGTCTCCTGGGGATGCATGTGTGGGGTGCAAGCACACCAGAAGACTTTTTGGAGAGAGAGTGTCCTCAGATGGACCACTGCTCAGCTTGACCTCCTCGCCCTTGTCTCAGTAGGTTTCGCCCTGAGTGTAACTATAGTCCATCAACTTTATGGAGTATTCATTTGACCTGGGGAAAAGTTCCACATCTTTATTAAGCTGAAATTTAAGAACCTAGACTGCCTCACAGGTTTCCTCTTCCAGAAGACAGATTAATGTTCTGTAAAAACAAGAATTCCAAATGAGGATGGAAATGCCAAAGTCCCTCCACCTCCACTTTTTGCTGACAAATCCAATGGATCTGTTCATCCATTTGCATTATCCTTACCTGCCAGAAGGGAAGAGAGACCTCTCCTAGGAGGAAGGTGCACTACTCCAATGGAATGATATTCTTCTCCATGTCATCTTCTGCTTATACAGAGTGTGATGCAGTGATATACAGAGTGTGATGCAGTGAGCTTGGGGGTTGGAATGTTGGGACTGAGGTTCCAGAGCCAGTTCAGCCTCTTATTCAACTCTGCGGGGGATGCCTAACATTTTCTCAATTGCTTAGTATTTTCCATCTCTTTCTTCTCTTTATGAATTATCGCAGTTGAAAATTCCAAGACAGCAGAAGCAGGCCCACGCATTTCCACACAACTTTCTGTTGCTGGACTTGAGATTAAGTGCACTTTAGTAATCTGATTTATTTAATGTTGAATTTACACTGTATATCTCAAATGACAAGGTGATCTCATTTCATGTATAAAAACTCAAATCTTTAAGTGCTTCATCTTGTAGCCCTAGTATTTGGTTAACAGGCAGGAATGTAAATATGTAACTAAGAGAAAAACATAAATGCAAAGGGTAGCCAGGGACAAGCTGGATAATCCCACTGGAACCAATCCTAACAATCTAGAAAATGTGTGTCTGGCATTTGCTCTTTCTTTAGCAAAGAGATGTACCATTTTTGTAAAGATACAGTAAAGATATAGAATAACATAAAGAGATATAGTAAAGATGAGAATAATAAATGCTTTATACTGATAGAAATATGAAATATGGAATGCATAATCATAGTCATGTTTTCTGTAAAATTTACATCAATAATTTGAATGTTAGAATATATAACATAGTTTAGATTTAAACTTTCTACCTTAAGCACACATATTTTCATTGAGTCACTACAGTTTCCTTTAAAAGTGATACTTCAACCTTGCTGACATTTTTCCAACCAGACAGGCTTACGTCCTTTTAACAATGCCTAGAATTACCCTTTTACCCTGGCCAACCTACAATGTGCTCTCACAATCAGTCCTTCTTGGAAGTGCTTTCACACTAAAATTCTCTCTTCCTCCAGAATGAGTCTCCAGCAAGCAACAACATATTTCTTACATTATATTGTATTTATATTTTAATATATTACATTATATCATATTCTACTTCTTATACTACAAATCTCTGATTTATCTTTTCTCCTAGGTTATAAATTCCATGAGTGGAACTAGTATGCCCATTCATTTCAGTATTTCAAGTGCCAAAATATACGAGAGTAGAGGGTAAAGGGAATGATGAAATTTGGTAGAGGTGGGAGAAGGGAAAGGATTATTTTATAGCACCTTATTATTGAGTCTCTATAAGGTGAATCTGTTATATATCCCCCTTTCAATACATTTGTGTCTACAGAAGCAGCAAGGTGTTTATTAGGGATAGACATCTTTGAAAGAAAAGGGGAGAAACAAAGCCAGGAAAATGGAGTAATTGAACTGCAATGCAGGCTCCACAAAACCTCAGTCAACTGGATGAGGATCTCTCAAGGCAACATTGTCCAACTTGGATGGACCACTTCACTTACAATAGATGGTTTTTGAGCAATGTGACCTTAAGATGTAGTGGGTCAGTAGGCAGGTCTTGATGGGAAACTCCAGTTACATGGCCATGTAGTCTGATTGTGATCCCTTAGCCAGTCATTTCTTCTTGCTCAATTACATGCCAGGAATTTTTTAAAAAGGTATATAATTCTGCACAGAATAGAGTAATACCTTGCTCATGAAACCTGGAGACTTCATTGTGATTCTCCCCTGGGAATGACCACAAATTCCACAGAATATTTCTTCCCATCCCTAATAACATCAAACAGCATTAGGTTCACTGCATCAGTCATATGGCCCAAGTGGCAGGGCAACTTTAACCACTGCTTGGACCTGTTGCAGTGCCCTTTTCTGCTGTGGTCCAAGTTCAATGCTGGCATGGCAGCCTTGTGCACCATTTAGTGCCTAGGCTCCATTTTCCTCTGTACATCTCAAAAGCCTAATGCATCAAACTCACTGATGAATACCCTATCAAATCTCCTGCCTCATCAGAGACCCCTACTTTTGGTATCAACTGTTCCATATTTTATTATCCAGTAGCAGACACAGAGATGTAGTTTGGACTGCAAGGTAACTTGTAAAAGGAATTAGGGCTTTGATCAGGCAGGAGGGAAGTTGGCCTGTACTGGAGGCATGATAATGCCTTAGCCCACCCATCAAGGAAGTCTGGAATGAAGAGTATTACATTCTGTAGAATG